AGACACAGCAGAACAGTTAAATATGTTTCCTCATCCAAGTCTTACAAAAAGCACTGATTCAAAAGAACGTAAGACTGATAAACATTGTTTATCAAATCCCAGAGCTATTTACCTTTTCTGCATCCTTTCCAGCTCATGTGCAGCAGCAGCCTAGATATAAAGAGGATTAACACAGACTTAGGATACATCACATGATTCAATCAACCTTTCATTCCACAATATTAAAAAGCTAGAACAAGTCATTTGGCTTCTCAGCAAGAGAGCAAAGGGGTAAGCTTGCCTTGATGTTCTCTTAATACACCAATCTATACCAGGCAAACATGCAATTACGCAAAGGGAAGAAGCTCTCTAAGAGATTTGTTTGACAACCAGGATCATCTCTAAACAAACACTTCGTTTCCACCTCTGTAACAAATAGGCCACATAGCAGTAACAGAGGGACAGCATTTTGTTTGGTTCTAAAAAGGCAAGGCAGGAGGGGTTGTGTGCTTTTGTGTTTTTTTATAGGGATGCTTATGACCCTTGTATACAAATGCCAGGGCTGCATATTCAAGCACAGTTCTATTCACTCCTGTGAAGCGCCCTGCGCTCTGCATGCCTGCAAATCTAAACCACGCAAATTGCTTCAGTAAGTTGGATACCCAAGTAAGAAAGATATCGCTGGTGAAAAAAGGGTAAGAAGTAGCCTCCCACCAGCTATAAGTACTCCAAGGAATTGCATATTAGCCCAATGCAGTAACCTCACACCTTTAATGTGCTTAAGAACAGCTTGCTTAGAGCCAACAGATCTGCATTTGCATTTGTGACACAATAGGTAGTGGGAAGAGAATAAAATTAAATGTTTAATTAAGCAATTATTTTACCTGTTCATTTGTCAGAGCCTGTAATTTCTGTACTTCTGATTTCAGGGATAGGTTCATATTCTGTAAGACCTGAAGGAAAGAGAAAAAGAAATATATTTGCACTTTGCACAGAGGCAGTATTTCAGGTAATTTCACTCTCCAGTGCAAGGTATTTCGGGCTACTTTTTGAAGGATGCTAGAAGTAACAGCAGAGAAAAACCTCAAGCTTTCTTATCAACAGCTTGCCAGCATCAAGCACTGGCCTTGACTAGCAGAGCAAAGTCAGCAGACTTGTAGCTGAAAGAGCTGTTTCTAGACTCAAAGGCAGTCACCTTGCGGGCTTCATTTTATACATGCAGCCAATGTGCCTCTCCCTGTATCAGCTGGCATTTACACATGTCTTTATTGTACCTTGAGCTCTTCCTCCTTGCTGGTTAAGTTGGCATGTTCATTGCCTAATGAATCTTCCATCTGCTTTATCTGTTTATCCTTTTCTGCAATCCTGCACAAATGAGAAATGATGTATCAATGCTAAAAGGTCTTGGATGAAAGTGGCACATGAAGCATCAGGCTAAACACAAAATACATGCTGGCCCTTAAGTCTAGCCCCTACCCTAAATCCTTCTGACGGTACACTTTGGGTCCAAAAGCTTTTCCATCAGTTTTAAATGCTGTTTGCTTGCCAAAAATTTATGAGACATTCTCCAGCTCTGAAATACAACTACCCCACCTCCCAGAGGGAGAAATCTCTTGGCACAGCCATATAGCCCAAATATTAACAATTCTCATGGTCACACACATTCCTGCGTGCTGCACTGATCCCTGCACGTAGACAGCAGTAAACAAGAGAGGAGACACTGCTTTCAGTGTAGCATACAGAGCCTCATACAACAGACTCCAAACTTGAGGCCAGACACGGAAGGGAAATCCGCAGGAAGCAGTTTCCCAGCTCCCAAGTCAACGTAATGGTGAGAAGTTAAGAGCACAGACAGCAACACTTCCTTCACCAGTCCCTCCTGTACACACTGCACTTGCGTGGAGAAAAGGTGGCATGCATTAAAAGCCAGTAACACCTCCCGAATACCAGAGGAAATGAATGCTCACACTTTATGTAGTTCTTCTGCCAGGACTGAAGCTGAGGTCTGCAGAAGGAAAAAAAAAATAAAATAGCTGAAAGTAAAGCAAGTCAAAGCATCATCACCTTCAGTGAGCCAGGAATAGCATCTGTAAAAATTGTCTACTTATTTTAAACTTGCACAGGACATTTCCAACTATTACCTGGCTAAGGAACATTGAAGGAACACTAACACATATTGATGTCCCTTCCCCTTTGGCCTAAGGCAACATGAAGTAAAACAACAAACCACCTTATCTGCCCTTTACCAGATTCAACCAAGCCACAGGGGTGACCAGCACTTGTCCCTCAAGGATTAAGTGTGCTACGGGACATTCTGCTGACAAACCACTCGAATTTAAAAAAGAAAACTCTTCACAGTGTTAGAAACAGAAACAGCAGCATCAAATCAGCAAGCAGCATTTTTTCCCCCTGGATAAAGCCTATTCCTATGTGGTCACCAACAACAGGGTAGGAGAGACCCATCACACAGGTTATCAAGGTATCGAGGGACCTCTGCAGACTGTTTCACATCCAGTTTGGTAGCAGCTGTGGCAGAACCTCCACATTCATCTGTGCTTCAGGTACATGATTCTCCTTATCCAGCCTTACTCTCCCCCAAAATCCTGATCTCACAGCACTTGTGCCCATGGGACTCTATAGCAATTCCTATACTGCATTACCCAGATCATACCACAGAGAACAGCACCAGAGAAAAAAAAAATTTAAAAGTTTAAAAAAAAAAAAAAAAAAAATCCAAGGGAACAAATAGTTCCAGTCCAAAAGGACCTCCTTAATGATCGAAACAGTTTCATCAGCCCTGATGTCCAGAGTGGCATTCAGTCCAACCTCACTTCCCCAAAGTGCTATTTGCACACCCACTGTCCACAGTGGGAAAATGGCCATGCATTTTCATGGCCAGTGGGGCTACATGGGGAAAGCAGACACCTCCTTCCAACAGCCTCCTTGCGTAACCCAGAGCTAAAACGTAAAATTTCCCTAGGGATTTATTTTCAAAGCCCTTTTAAAGGACTGGGATGAGAGGATTAGGTCATCAAGATGCTGTAAATCCATAGTGCTTCTTCCTTTGCTACTCTCCCCACCCAATGGGTTAAAGCACTTCAAGCAAAGCCAGATGACACATTTTCAGTCTTCTGTCGAATTTAATCAAACTACATCAAGCATGCCCATGCTTAAAAGAACGCAGCCCCCAGCTGCACAGGAACAGTCTCCACTCGTGCCCACAAAAGTTATGGCCTCTGAGCTGATTTCTGTGACCTAGCTCTACATGGAAGCAACTTCAGTCACTGAGGTTTTACACTGTGTTTACAACAAAAATCATTTCTCAAAGAAACCAGTCAAACTAAAATTTGAGATCAGTAGAACTGAGAGGCATAGTGCAGGTTTGGTGGGGTTTTGGTTGGTTTGGTTGGTTTTTTTTTTTTCCTGCTGCACAGAAATCACCATTGGAATGAACAAACAGCTTTATATGGGAGCTACCATAAGACACTGTTTCTCAACCTAATGCACAAGGGAAAAGCATGATCAGGTGATTCACAGGAGGACTGCAAAAAGACCAGAGAACCACAAAACAGCATTGTACACATGCAAAGCTACAACAAACAAACATTCAAAGAAGTATTTTACTCTTTGGTTATAAATAAAAGCCACTACAGGAGGAAATAAGTGGATGTTTCCCCCCAAAAGGACAGCAGAAGCTTAAGTTTTAAACCAGTTTGAGAAACATTAGAAAAGAGGATGCTAACAAGTCTTTGCCTTCAGCATTACATATCTCATATCCAGCTACAAAAAAATCTGACTTACTGAAAGTTCACAATTCACAACTATAAAAGAAAGTCTGAGAACATGCTGTACCTGGGCTGCCATTTGTGAATGAAACTTCTGAAGCTGAGCATTCAAAGCATCATTCTGCTCTATCAGCTCCTTGTAAGAAAGCACAGAAAGAAAAGCAGGCTGAGATCTGCAGCTAGACAACTTCTGCTAGGATTAGCTCTTAGCCATGATTACGTTAGTAAGAACAGTTTAGCATTTACATGTCAGACACTTTTCAAAGATGCTATTTTACTCCGCACTAAGATCAATCAGTTTGAGTGGAAGCATAAGAACCTGTTCTGTATCAAGAAAAAAATATTCCCCTGCCTCACCATACACCATGTGGTTTCCCTGAAGCCCTCAGGAGCTGTGTCCACACTGCCTCTCACCACTTGATGCCAAGAGAAGAGAGAACACTCCAGAAGAGCTCACATGGCTGCTCTTCCAGGGTGTTCCCCCAACATTTCACAGCCTGGGAAATGGTCTGGGTCAGCACGTTTTCCTGACATGCCCGGAGTGCTTCTCAGGTCTGAGATGGCCCCAGACCTCCTCACGCCACCACACACAAGGTCCCACTTCACAAGTTGCCAGATCATATGGCACACAGTTTTCTCATTCTTTATTCAGTGGGAAGCTTTACTAAAGCAGAATTTCAAAGACATTACTGTGTTTCCATAGGCACAAAGCAGGAGGAAAAAACCCAAACCCTTAAGGTACTTGAGTAATACTACCTGCACCTGCATTTGCATGGAGTCCTCCGCAGTAGCTCTCTTTTGCTCAGCCTCCATTAACTGCAACATCCTCTGCTCCAGCTGCTGTTTTGACACCATTGTATCAGTAAGTTTACTGTGCAAGCTCTGGATTTCATTGTCTTTGGCCACAAGTTTATTCTGCACATCTGTAGCAGAAATGTCAGGATTTTAATTCAGAAGTAAATATTTAACTTTGGGGGAAGTAATTTTCACTGTAAACAGGGAGGCTGATTAGAAGCCTTATTCCAGCAAGCCAAGGTTCAGCTCCCTCATCAGCATTCAAACTAACTGGTATCACAACACACTATTTCCCCAGGGTGCTGAAGCAGTACTGACTTCAGCTGAGCTTTATTTAAGCCATTTACTCCATAATGCCCTTTTTTACAAATGGCAACAGTCGAATCACTGCAGTAAGCATTATTTGGGAATTCTCTGTTACATGGGAATTGTGATACGTGCCTTGTTGTGCCGCTTCATGTTCTGCTGTTCTTTTCCTGAGATAAGCCTGGATTTCTTCCCATCTTCTCTCTGCTTCCTGCTGTTGTACCTTCACATTGAAGAGAGAGTTGATGAAAAGAAGTTTAACCTTTATTTTTGAAACATTCAGAGTGCATCTCTTCAGTGCTATTCCCTAACCATATGACAATGAAGTAAAATTGTTTCTTGTTTCCATTAGGACACATCAGAGAGACAAAGTGCCCTGTAATCCTCCTCCTAGAGCAGTTTAGCCTATTAATTTGAAAGATGTGAACACATTTCGTTATAGGCTCTTAACAGGATGGTTTCTGTAATATGAAAGTGTAGTATCTTCGCCCTGCAAGTCCAGAATTAACACTAAAAGCCAGACTAGCCATGCATCACATAAATCTGCATCAAGTAATTAAAACATGTCTCAAGTCTAGATACCAACTGTCCAGCTGCAAGGGCTAGGGGCAAGGAGAATGTCTGGTATCTAAGACTTAATTGCAAATACGAAAAAATAATTAACTTTGGATTGGCATTCTCACCCAAAAACACTAGATTTCTCTTCTGGAAAAAAAAAAAAATTAATACAAAAGACCTTTTCTTCAAATGAAGAAGAGATGCATCCAGAAGCCAGTCCATTTACACTTTAACTCCTAAAAAAAATTGTATTTATTTAAAAATTTAAACATACACTTGAGCAAAAACATGTAGTTTCAATTAAAAAAAAAAAAAAAAAAAAATCACACAAAGACAATGTCATCTGGATGAACAACTCCAAAACACCAAATCTTGCTCGAATTTTATGCTCATAGAAAGCAAAGTTCAACATAACCAGTTAAGCTTTTTAAAGATATTTACCTGGAAGGGTAAATTTCACTTCATAGGGAGGTTTGTAATCACTCAAACCCAGGGTACTGAATAAAAACATTAAATAAGCCCATGGGCTGGCTCAGCCTGTCTGAAAGTAGATACTAGCGCACATAAAGAAGACAGAGAGATTTAGTGGCCAGAGAACAGCTAAAGCCATTTTCACGCACCCCACATCCCACCCGACTCGGAACTTGGCTCAGATAAAGCCTTGAGTGTAACTCAACAGAGAGAGAGAACCCAAGTCACCTTTAGCTGAGCAACTGCTTGCTCTGCGTTCTTCTTCTGGAGCTCCTCTTGCTGCAGCTTACTGCTCTTCTCTCCCATCTCGTTCACCAGCCTAGCATAATCCTGGCGCAGTTTGTTCAGTTCAGCCGACTGCCTAAAAATAAACGTTTTCACAGCTTGCTCTTTTTTTTTTTTTTTTTTTTTTTTATTACAAGCATAGGACATAACAACAGCTATTCAAATATCAACACCAAGCTCCATATTTGCAGTCAGAGGGCTGTAATGGGTGGGTTTGGTTTGGTTTTTTTTTGTTTGTTTGTTTTTTTTTTTCCTCTTCACACTGCTTCATCCTAGGAAAGGGATGAGGGTCAGGTACTCTTGGCCATCAGCACAGCACAGCAGCTACAATCCATTGAGTCAGAAACAAAAAGTCAGCAATAAGCCACAAGCATCAGTTCCTTTAAAACATTCGCAAGCTGATGGACATAATTTGGACAGGCTCATATAAACTCAAGAGGCTCAGCATAAAGAAAAGGTCTCGCATTGAAATTCACATTCCTTCCCTCTTCCCATAAAGGATTATTGATCTCACACTTACTCAAGACTATTCCTCCTGGACTACTAACTGCACACGTCTCTCTGGACTAGACGTTGCCTCCTGGCCTTGACTTGTCTATTAACTTGCGAAGGTATCTGATGCATTCTCTCACTTAGGGAAAGGAGATGAATTTGTATAGTCCAAGAGAAGAATTTTAAAAGGCTCACCTTTGTGTCTAAGCAAACAAAAAGCGTTTCATTTTTATCTTAAACTTGGCTCAATTAAGGATTTTTCAAGATAACTGCCTAAGAGATAATAATGCTTCATTTCTGCAAACAGGACACCTAAAATCAGGGTACCAGCACCCTTCTCCGAGTGCTCATTGTATCAACCTGCCCCGGCAGGACAGGCACAGGGAGCAGAATGTACTTCTGCTGAGCTGCACTGGTAACAGCAAGGTCCATATAGACACAGCATCTCTGCAAGAACAGCATAGCCAGAAAAGGAAGATACTGAGTCCTGACAGTGGTTTTGACATTCTAGTCTCCAACAGTAACAAACATGTGAGAGAATATAAAGTGCCCGCTTCACTTTCTATAGGCAGAAGCCCACTGGCAGCAGTTTGATTATGCACCTTACCGAGGCGCTCAGCTTCTACCACCATATACACAGTCTTCTCTGCCAGCTCAGGGGCAGCTTAAGTCGTAACTCACAACAGCCAAAACCTGAGATGCCTTTTTGTTTCTCCAACATCTGCAACACCAGCAGATAAATCCAAGTGCCACACCAGCAGTATCGTTAACTACAGGGTGCTGATATTTTTTCTTGTTGCAAGACTGATTTATAAGTTTAGAGCTGTTGTTCTACCAAGAGGCCAGGATCAGCACCTCTCCTAAAGCCCCAGGAGAAAGCATACATACACCCTGCCAAAGACACCAGCTGTGTCTGAGCACTTCTGCGTTTCTTTCCATTAAAGCCTCAGCACCCACTGTCTAAAAGCCCAGGTTTCAAACTGATGAAAGACAGTAATCTGTTCTGAAAGCCTTTGCTCAATGCAAATACAAATAGCTACCTCCAACCCCAAATCACTGTGCTCCCAGTTTAACCATAAATCCAGAAACAGCCAGGGAAATGGGAACAAAAGGAGCAGAAGCCAGAACAACTCTTCAGGGAAGGCTTAAAACACACACAGAGCTCCGAGTAGCTGCTAACATACTTGCTCTCCATTTGATTGGTAGAAGTACTGACAGCATCTCTCAGGATACCATTTTCCTGCTTCAGGTGGCTTATTTCTGCCTCCATCTGCTCACGGAGTTGTTGGAACTGATGGGGAAAGAAAGATCAATTCCAAAAAAGATTAAACTACGGAGCAATAAAAAACCCCAACAACTTATAACAGTAGATAAGATAGCACAATAGTTTAAGTAAATAAAACTATGTGGATTTTTTGGGAGAGGAACAGCTTCACGTCCTTCCTCACATACCCACTCTTAAATTAAACTGTGCAGCTCAGACACTCTTGCTCAAATAAAAGCACTGGTTTCCTTTTATACCAGTGTGTCAACCTATTTATCAAGGCAACCTTCTTTGTTTGTTTAAATGACTATACAAATGTTACTTAGCATACCAACTGCTCAGCTGTATAACTTCAAATACTTGTCAATAACTAGATATCAATATATTACTTTTCCATAGAGAAATAGAATAAACGTACTGGGAATTAACATCAGTTTATAAAGCCTTTAAATAAAGCAGAAAAATGATAAAATAACTAACAATACATAGGTTATAGCTTGTAAACTGCAATAGGCTAATCCTCATCTAATATCCTGAAGTCAAGATTATGACATAGATCCTCTATTTAGGCAATAATATGCTTTGATTGCATTTTCAACATGATTCCAAACTGAGGCAGAAAGAAGTCCTGATAACCCAAGGCTGCTTCAGAATAGCGCAAACAAAATCAAAAGACAGGATTCAAAGGAAAAAAAAAAAAAAAAAAAAAGACTCTGCATATGCAGACAAGAGCATAGCTGTTCTTACAGCTCAACAGCCGGCTTTAAAAATCCTTGAGCACATACAGCTATGCTTTCTTCCTCTACCAGTGCCAGTTTGCAGATATGGCTGACACCATTTCCAAGACCCAGTTTCATCAAATGGCTGAGTTGCCAATAACGATTTTATATATAAAAAAATCCAAACAAACATTCACCTAACCACCACAGCAAGAAAGCCGTCCATCTCACCTCCAGCTCAGCACCAACACAGCCCCTCATCCCGCACCCCACCCCACCCCTTTCTTTTTTTAATACCAACAGATATACAAGATTCCAACAGAAGCAGAGGCACAAACCCCAATATAACTGGAAACTTTGACAATTACATTTCAGCTTCTCCACAGTGCTAGAGCACATCAGCAGTGCAAGTAGAACCAGAGCACTGGTTCCTCTGAGCATCCTTTCCCCAGCTTTGCCTGCCACAACCCAGTCATGCCCAGATCTCCTTCACCCTCCCCAGCCAGCAGTAAGATCCCTTCATTATACAGTTGTCTATATAGGTTCAGAGGAAGTTGTCCCTGCTCAGGAGAATGTAGTTCTGCTCCAAAACCACAGAGATGCTCCTCTCCGAAGTGCCGAGGCAGAAGGTAACAGTATCAAAGCTGGAAAGTTTACATGCTGTGACATTTATATAGCAAAAAAAATACTAGAAGGTGAAATCTAAGCACCAGTCAAGTTGGTGTAAGAGGAGCCATTTTTCTTCGAAAACTTTAAATCAACTTTTTAATCTGATGAAACAAACTCTTCTGAGGTCACTCCATTATAATGCAACTTCAGGAGAAAGTAAACAAGGGTCTTAAAATGAATGCAAGTGTCAGCCCTTTAAATATTTTCAGCAAAGCACTCTCCCAGGCAATAATGTTTCTTGTATGTTATGCTATGTTATCATTCTGTACTATAATTTAAAAAATTAGATTTATCAGCTAGTAAATGATCATCAGCATTAGTGGCTCTCAAGTATTTCAATTAGATTTTATACTTTAATAAAATTTCAGCAGAATACCACGAAGGAAAAGTAACTAGATCAGATACAGGCTGTATAGCTAACACTGGTCTTTCACAGGCTGCCAAAGTCACCTATGAGAACATCTTGTCATTCTGAGCCAGTGAAGTGCCACAAAGTCTTCCGTCCTCATGCAGATGTGTTACACCACCAGACACCAGCACACTGCGTTCAAGGCTCAGGGTAACTAGCAAAGCCCATTTCTGTATGAGCAGCAACAATGCTGCACCCTGGCTAAAGCAATGGTTTCTTAGCACTGATCTGCTTGTGCATGAACACAAACTCGAAGGGCTTTGGTAAAGCATTTACCTTGATCTTCATCTGCTGAGATTCTTGGTAGCTAACATGTATTTTACTCTGAAAAGTGCCGTGCTCCTTTTCAAGCGCGTTGATACGCTCTCGCATTTTCGCTGTAAGCAAGCCGTTTCTCTCCTTTTCTGCAACCAGCTCCTTGGGTGGGAGTGAAAGGAAAAAGGGAAAGTCATCTACTGCTCTTTTCTGGAGTCTAATAGTTAATGTTTTAAGATAACTAAAAATATAGCAAGTGTGCATCATACCAAAGTCAGCATCAAACTTGGCTCAGAGAAATTACAGCGTTAGACCTGACCAAATTTCCAACATCTTTATGAGGATTTAGGATCAGCATAATTTCACAATCATTAAAAAGAGGCTTGCCAATTTAAACACTGATCTTCTGTTATCTCAGAAGAGCTGGAATCTTATTGCTATTGAGTTTGGCCAAATTACACAAAGTCCTAACAATTAAAACCATGGATATCACACAGGGCAGAGCTTAGATTTTCATCTCAAATTTAGCAAAATAGAAGACTACAGGTAAAGAATAGCGGAAAAAACAATAGAGCATTTTAGAGTAGGTAATTGCTTTGTAGCAGGTTGCGAAGCCAACCATTTTGCCAGAGGAGATAGGCTGTTAGTAACCAGCAACAGCCAGAAAAGCCCTGAATCCCACCAGCATGATGCCATATTATAACTTTCAAATGAAAATACACATTGCTATTTAGATTAATCATTTATTAGCCAGTAATTCAACCCAGACACCTGAGAAATCCATAGAGCAGCTCCTCTGCAATACAAATGCACTCACTGTATTAAGCAAATAAAATACGTGCGGGTTTCAGCTAACTCCCATCGCAGAATGAGGTATTTACCATCTAAGCTTCAAGTATCTCCAGCTACGCAGAACAACACGCAGCCCCTTACAGTGCCAGGGAGCCTTGACACATAATTTAAGTCCTCTAAATTATTAGCCTGAATACCCTCCATCTCTACCATCCAGTAATTATAGCTTTTCCCACATTTTAACTTAAATAAAAGCTATTCTCTCTTTTAGATTCAACTTACTAGCTTCAGGAGGCTGTTCCCCCAGAATGAAGTGACACAAGTTCTCAAGCCCATGTTCATGAAGGCATTTAGGAACTTGATTCACTCCAGAAGTTTTAAGTCACTTCTGCAAATACACTGTGAACAGCTTGACACAAAGCCTTCTCCACGTTATATTTGCATCTGCTCAGACGCAACAGCAAGAAGAGCACCAGGACACTGCAGCTTCCTTCTACCCCTCCACCAATTCCACCATCCATCTGCAGT